AGCCCTTTGTAGTCTTCAATATCAAAACCGGGTACCCCAGAATAGGAAATGTATCTAGCATACATATCGTAATTAGAAGAGACGTTCGTGGGAGGAAGTTCTAAAAGATCAGAGCTGGGAAGAACAGGGAATAATAGGATGTAATGCATTGGGCTCGCATTAGCATGCTCATCAGGGTTCTTGTTTCTTGGCTTAAAAGCTTTGCCCCCTGGATTTACTTGGGGAATAAAGACTGGCTCTTGTTGAACAAATTAGGGAACACCAAGTTATGGAGGATTCCCCTGATTAAAAAGTCTGATGCCCCGGTGTGGCAACCACATCTGATGTTGGTTAACAACAAGAACGAAGCACTGATATAAGATCACATAGTAAAGGGGAACCATCTCCTGATAAGATGTTCTAAGAACTCAGGATTGCGTAGCACTCCAAGGTTGGAAGCAATTCCCAAAAGATGAGGAGAAGAGAGAACCTTTACTGTGATAGTAGGTGCAATATTGTTGACATCATCATCAGAGCTTTCATGGCCTGACTCATCCGAGTCTTTAATCAATTATCTTCCTGTTCGAAGAAATTTCTGACCAGAGACCAAAGCTTGTAGGTATACCATATGGAGTTATTCCCTAACCGATCCCTGAACAAGTGCAGTAAGAAATCAAAGCTAAACCTCCAATGAGAACCATGTCTGAATAAGAATCCCCAATCTTTGAGTATCTTTATAGATGCATGAATATACATGGAGTGCATGAATAGATGCCATATTATGTTCCGTCATTTCCAAGGAGTTTACGTGCTTTGATTTTCATTTTACGTAAGCAAAAGATGGAAAAGTTTGGCATAAGGATTACAAATACGATTCCTTGGAAATCATAGAACATGTATGCTAAGTATGTGGTTAACCATGTTATGTATGCACAAATATGAGATCAAATGGGATCAAGGTTCCATCATTTCCAAATATGATTGTTGCGTTATTCTGAACCATATGAATATCATCAAATCAAAGGTCTGACATAGCTTCCGCACATATAAAAGCCGAGTACTATGTAGATCTAAGTAGCATGAGATCAAGGCTTCAGGAACATCAGGTACTGTTTGAGCTTTTCTGAGTATGCTGGGAATACCAAGATCAAAGGCTTGAATGAACTTCCAAGTAAGCAAGTCAGGAACTCAGAAAATAAATCTGAGAACCATATGGTCACCAACAGGATACCATATGCATAAGTCGTTGGCCGAAGTCCATAACATGATCATTAGAACCACTAATCACCATCTGATCACAGTCTCCAACTGAGCATGAGTAACCATTTGAACATAGCACCAACTGTACCTGTAATGACAAATCCCTCCCCACTCACGGGTGAAGACTAGGTCAGGGTAAGACAATGGTAACTCGAAAATCACGGGTCCGCCTGAAAGTGCTATGGGCTTACCCACAGACGTGGGTGCCGATAGTAATTCATTTTAACCTCATCCGAGCGTGGTATATGACAAGACTGCACTAATCGGACCACGTCCTATAGCCGTCATGACCCCACTCTATTCCTAGTGTCCTAGTGCACTCTGGCCTGGGTACTGGGCCTTTTACCTCAATAATGACATCCCCACCCAACATGGAAAACATAGTCCAGCATAATAGATAACAAATAGGGAAAGCAATAAAAATGCAATGCAAACTTATGCTCAGACAAACATGTACAAATGAGTAAACTGAAAGCATACAAATAGACACCCAAAGAAAAGAAAGCAAGAACTAGGAGCGACTCCGGGATGGACCAGCATTTGGTCGACCAGTTCCCCAGTGAAGTCGCCAGCTGAAACAACCGGCTGAAAATCATCAAACAATGAAGTCGCCATCGAACGTCTTTTATCCCACATGTAGGGAAAGGTAAACATCGAGAAAACATGAGAAGGGAGAAGTCGCGGTCTTGCGACCGAGAGATCGGGTAAGGGAGTCTGTTACGCGAGGGGAAGGTATTAGCACCCCACATGCCCGTAATACTCTACGGTATCCACTCTTGTTATCTGTCTTATGGGTGTGTTTAATCTATATCTAAACTGTACAGGAAATGCATGCAAAATAAAAGAGAAAAGAATGTAGGGAAAATGAAAAGTTGTGGTGCTCGCTTGGGCCCTACCCCAATGCCTACTTATCCCTTTTAAGGAATCAGAGCAGCCGTAGTTCGGCTTACATGTTTTTGTTTGTTTGTATTTTTTACTGAACAGTATTAATTTCGCCTTCTGCCGCAACTCGACCGTTGGAGACTTACGCGTCAGCACATAAGTGAATTAACATGCTCTCTTGAAAAGTTTGGAAAGAAATGTGCCTGGACGCACAAAAAGTTTTGAATTCGTTTGTTTTTGAATGAATGATAGTAATTTCGCCTTCTGCCGCAACTCGACCTTTGGAGATTTACACGTCAGCACAGAAGTGAATTAATATGCTCTTTTGAAAAAGGTTTTTTGAAAGGAAGGCCCGAATGCAAAAAGAATTTTATGTTTGTTGGTGTTTTTTGTTTGTAGAGAATAACTAGTTAATCTCAAGGGAGAGATTTTAGTCATGTCTATACTTATTCATGAAATGAGTCTTTGAGACTTGAACCATACCAAAGCTTAGATCAAGAGATCAATAAGGTCGAGAAGAGACCCGCTTATTGTCTCACATACTTAACGAAGATATGATTCTCGTCAGTAAATTTTTATGTGCTTTTGAAGTTTGTAAAAAAGGAGAAGTTTTTGTTTTAACTGCATATACAAAAAAAGGAAGAAAAGTCACAGGGAGACTAGCCTATTTCTAACTCTAATTTTATCATGCATTGTTAGACCTAAGTCAAGTATGAGTGAAAGAAAAACATCTACCTAATGTTAGCATGCATATGGTTTGCGATAAAGAAATGCAATAAAGTGCGAAATGAGGGATAAAATAAGGCCACGATGATACCGAACGGAGAAGGTCCGTTGCCTTTTCAAAGTCACACAAGTGATAAGAAAACTCTACCGAAAGCTGCTCCGCATGAGTGATCATATAATTAATCTCCAAGCATTCCATATTGCAAAAATTGCATAGATACTATCACAAAGATCTTGACTAAAAATGGCAATAAAAATGATTACCAAATATGAAAAATAAAATAGTGAAAAGAAACTCTAATCGAGATTCTAAAATATTCTACCACTTTTTTATCATTATTTTTTTTATATAGAGAAAATTCTAACAAACAAACAAGAATTAACTCCTAAATAAAAAAAAACTAACAAGTTTTTATGGATCTTAGAATTTTATCATAAAAAAGAAATAGACAAAATTATATTCAAAAAATAAAATCTTAAAGATTATGAGGACAAGGGGTGTAGTATTGAAATCAAGGTGCCTGACTAATATTAGGTGCTAGGCCCAAGCTGGAACAAGTCCAAAAGCAATTTTTTATAGCACAAACTTCAGGCCAAACAAAGGATTCACGAGCCTAATGTAGAGGAGTATATTGAATCAATACCCAGTAGTGAAGTTGTAAGGCCCAATTATGAGTGAAGTCCAGTAGACTGAAATAACAGCAAGGTCCACGAGATTTCTACCAGCATTTTGTTTCCATAATAATAAAAAAAAAGTAAAGGGTTAAGAGGATAATACGGCGTCGTTTGGAAGGGATAGGGTTCAGATGCTTGTGACCCTCCAAGTCCACGAACAAAGAGTTCTCCCTCCTTCTCTCTCAAACACCGTCATGAACCTTCCTTCTTCCACTGCTTCTTTGTCTCAGTCTTCACCCACCGTCGTCCTTTGCATTGAGTTCTGGAAATCAAGACTGACCCAACCTTCACCGATTCGAAACCATGTTCATCTTCTTCTTACAACACGCTGCAGACCTTTTCCTCACATCATCTCTCGATCCCTTGATCTTTCCGTAAGATTCACTAATAATCGCCTTCATCATTTCTGATTCTCGCAGATTCTCATTTATTCAAACTCTGATCTGTAACACCGGCTGCACAAGCTTCAATCTCATATAAGATTCAACCTTCGCGATCCGATTCTTCGCCACGCTCCTCTCTGGATTTGAAGAAGATATATTTATAGAACCAGAGATGAGGTAATAATCTGCTTTTTATCTGTTAGTTCCTCTTCTTCTATCCTCTTCTGCTCTTTAATTTCACATTTGGATTTTGTTTCTGTGTGAAGATTGAAGGTTGGTAGTGATGATGATGAATACATTTTGCAGAGAGCCTTAAGGATTTTGGAGTTTAAAGATCCTTCTCAGAAATCAAGAACAGATGAGAGAAGATGAAGATTATGCTTGAAGCAGAGAGCGAACTGAGAGTTTTTTTGGTTTTTTATGATGGTGATTCTTCCACCGATTGAAGAAATGAAGATGAAAAGAGAAGAGAGATTTTTGTGGTTCTTCTTCCAGTTGAATAATGAAGGTTAGAGGAGCAGAGAGAAGGTTGAATGTTCTTTTTGCAGAATTGAAGAATGAAGATGAGAGGAGAAGAGATAATTTTTTTTATGTGATTCTTCTGCAAGTTCCAAAATCAATGTGAATTGGTAAGTTTCTATAGTTAAATCTATTATCTATATCTTAAACAATAATGAATCTCCCCCTATTATATAGCTATCAAAAATCTGTTAGAAAGCAGTTAGTTATTATTAGTTGGTTATCTAGAGTTAGTTATAGAATTGGTTAGGAGTTAGTAACTGTTTAGAGTTAGTTAGAAAATTCAGTTATGTGACCTTGAAATGGGCTTGCACTATTTGTTAGTTTGTAGTTCTGTTTCTGATTCCATCATTTATATTTGCAGCATGTAGGGTAGCACCAAGAACTATTGCTTCATCAGCCTCATGATTTTGTATGCAAATATATGGAAGTCATCTTCAAGTCTCCGATTCATGTGCTTCCTTTGCTATCATGTCACTCAGTTTGTCACGGCGAACTCATTGAGGAGTTGAAATTGATCTTCTCTACTTCTTCCTCGGATGTCTAATTGTGTAGCTCATGAAGATTAGCTTGCAGTTACTCATTCTTGAAGCAGGTTTCAGCTACTCCCTCTTTCTTTTCAGGAACTAGTAAGCTATCATCATCATCAATGGGTAAGCCAAAATCATCATACTTCCTCACATCCTTTCTGCTATCTTTTGTTGGTAAACTGCCTCTTGCATTTAGAACCACCTTCCCCAGGCCCGTGCCAGGATTCGGTTGTTTATCAGCATAGGGAACATGTTCAGTTTTTGATTTCTTAGGAGTTCCAGAACTAGATTGATCAGCATCTGTCTTATGTTTCAACTTAATATACTTTCTGGTACCTTCACTTGTTTGCTTTTCTCTCTCTTCGGACACATGTCTCTCTTCTATCGTGTTGTTAGACCTGCTGGGATGTTTCATCTTCATTGGTTTAGAATCTGTAGAATGTTGATTCAAGTTTCTATTTTTTCCTGATACTTGAGCATTGAGCTTTCCTGACATTATCTTTTCCTTAAAAACAGGTTTCTTCTTTCCTTGGTCAAGCAACACGTTAGAATTGGACTTTTTGTGATTCAGACCAAATTGTGATGCATCAGCAGAGCTCACTCCAAATGCAGTTTCAGAGGCATGCGTTTGTAAGTTATTTTGACCCTCAGAAATCGGCACTTGATATGAAGCATACAATGCCTTTGTTGTCTCATCCTCACTGAAGTCACAAGAATTCATCCCAGGCAGCCAATTAAGCATGACACACAACCATTTCTATGGAAGTTGCTCTGGCTTTAAGCCAGAGGGTAGAAGCCTCCATTTCTGGCATCTGTCGCAAGCTACCCAATCTTCTACAATAAGTTGAGGTGCTGCTACTGCTGTTGGAATCATCTCCAGAGCAGTATTATTTTCAGCCATGGGAAATGAACCCAGATCATCTGTTTTGTGTGGCCCAGCTAGCGAGTGGTTAACCACTTTATTGCCACTTGGTCTTTCCTTTACTTTAGCGCAAAATGCAGTCTGTTTTTCATTATTATTGTTAGACTTGGAAGTCTTAACAGAACTATTACCAGGAAAATCATCGACTTTCTGATCTGAGTTTTTCACTTTCAATGACCCTTATTTCAACTTCTTGCTGAAGTCTGAGAGTTGAAGAACATGAATTCTGGCAATAGATGCAGCTTCCTGACAATGGTGGCTACTTCTGCATAAGCATCCATCGCCCCCAATTTTTTCCAGTACCGGCCCCTTCAGAAAGGACCCTGTGATCAGCTAGCACAATTGATAGGTGGGCAGCATCAATATCCTTCATCTCCTGTTTCCTTAGACAGGTATAGCATAGCCGGAAGCAATTAAATGCTTAAAAGCAAGGTATACAAATATACCAGAGGATCTTTTTCCATTTTTTGTATAGTATGTTAATTCAAATTTGTTCAGGTAACTTTGCAAATCATCCAAAGTGTATGGAATCACACTGTCACTTAGAACAAGGGATGAAGATCCACTTGGGCAGTCCCGTACAGCCGACAATTTGAACCACAAGAAATCATCTATCGAACTAAAAAGATTCTGTTGATCTCTAAGCAGGTAATCAATATGTCTTCGAAGACCTGATATGATGGCATGATTGCTTGTATTGACTTGGATTTTTTTTTGTATGAATGTGCAGGTCATGAACTGAAGATGAAGAACTTTGGCATGGCATGGAATTGGAAGTTTACTCATGGAATTTTAACAACTTTTAGGACTAAGGAATTTTGTTCAAGTGTATTTTGTAACCGTTCTCTTTTCTTTGTAGAATATTGGTGTAATGGGATTGTAATGATTTTATAATGAATGTTTGGTACGGATGAACTTGAAATTTATAGTGTGAATTGTAAATGACCCTTGAGCTTGAAATGTTAGGTGATGAATTTTAAGGACGGGGTTTAAATGACAAAAGTCTTGAAAAATGCTTGAAGACATGAAAGCATCAAATTTTCTTGTAAGGTATTGTTACACTTGAATTAAATTGAATGGAATTGGATAGTATTTTTTGAATCATGAACGAAAGAGTTCGAATAAACTTTGAACACATGTGAACTTGAATCTGGAATAATGATGAACATCTTTGTAATGCGTATGAACTCCGACTTGAAACAAAACCTCGCAGTCTGTACTTTACCTTCCAAGAAAGCCATATGAACAATACTTAAGACTCTTTGCCGACTTTAATCCAATCAAACACTTTCGAACATCTTGAATTTAAATCAAACTTCAAATCCAAATCACACTTGCATTCTCAATGAACTCCTAACTTCAATCTTGAATCCCAAATCAACTTGAATGACAAATAATTCGAATAGCCAATAAGATCTTGATCCTAAAAATTCACAACCTTGACGACCTTTAATCCACAAGTTTCTTATCTCGACGAGGTCCTTCTCTAATTGACGACCTTTAATCATCAAAGATGTACACAAATGATAATGAAAGAACATGATCGAGATTAACATGAAACTTTATTTCCCCTGATCTTCAATTACTTGAACATTTATCAATGAATAGAAACCCTGATTTTTAATGAAATCTTCCTTTTCTGAACCAATATTTCTTTTCCTTTACCATACTATTCTTCAAATGCAACTCGAATTCCCAACACATATTAGATGAAAATTCAAGGGAGACCTTGGCCCCAAAGTTAATTGTTCAAAGCTTACTTTAACCGAAGTCAACAGATCTTATCCTCGTATCTTTGAACTTGGCCCGTGATTATGCATCTCAAGGTCTCATAAGAGCTTGTAAGCCCATCAACCAGGTATGCCATTTTGAACAAAACCATGCCTTGAATGCCTTGAACTTTCAATTACCTTGCATGAATTCTTCCCTGAGAAACCCACTTCAATCCCAACCTACTCACATCGCAGATAACAAATGACAATGATGAGGACAATGATTGCCTTGGTTAAGGATAAATCTATGAATTCATATCTTAGGTCATGAACCACGCTTCACAATTCAATCCCCAGCCCTTAGCGATCGGTTATTTCAACTTGAAATTAGCGTCATAAGGAACATCTTACAGAGGGATGATAAAGTCTGAATCACAGAAGAATTCCCTTGACGTGAAACCTAGTTGCACAAATGAAAACCCCATCACTTGTCGAGACTGGATAAAAGCAGTTATATCTTGAGGAGAAATAAATCATGTTAACCACACCTCACAATCTTGATTCCCCGTTTAGATGCACAGAGAAATATTTGGATAAAACATCTTTGAACCATGATTCAACAAAACATCTTTGGGGTGCAACACTGTTTACAAGCAATACCAGTATAATGCTGACCTAGATCCAACACAACTGCAAAGTATGTTTATGGGTTCTGGTGAGGGTTTCAAAAATTATGCCCTTAAATGGAGGGATCTCGCAGGAAGAGTCCATCCCCCTTTATATCATAGGGAGTTGGTGGATATTTTTGTACCCAAAAATTTTCCCTCTCATTTATCAAGAATTTGCTCACAAGATCTCCTTTGGCTCAAGACTGTACTAGAGTTGATTAGCTCAAGACACCTCCTTAAGCGCTGATGACCAAAATTAGGGTTTGAGATTGCACAAGGATATTTGAACTTTCAATGCTTTATATGACTTTCATGGATCATTATGGACCCCCAAGATTACCCATGTCAAGTTTCAAGCCTTGGATCACACTTTTGCTCAGTCAATTGAGCAGTTGACCTAAAAATTAGTTGTATTGGGGAAAAAGTCAACTATGGCCAATTTACAGTCAAAATTCATAATTTTTGATCCACATCAACATTATAAACTCATATGTATCATTTGATCAAATTTGGACCACAATTCCTCAAGAAATTTGATCAAATCATCAAAAGGGCAAAATTGTCAAAATTAGGGTTTTGACTGAGAAGGGGCAATTTCTGATTTTTGACCTAGCAATTGATAAATTGGTTTGAAGCATGATATCAAGAGTTCAATTGCATCATTTTTACCTAATGACATGGCTCAAAACATTTCTCAAGTCCAATGGATTGACAGATGAATTTTCAGTCAACTGATCAAAAGTCAATTGTATACTAAAAGTCAAACTTTGACTTTTTGGTCAAAATCAAATGTCAAAGATCACAATTCATCAAAGCATGTCAAAATATGAAACTTATTCATCAAGAAATCAAAAATTCAAGATTTCATTTTGAAAAGTAAAAATTTCTAAACTTAGAAATTTTTCCAAGTGTTGGAAATTTCTTATTTTTTCATAACTTTGAACAAAATTTTCACCATGATGCAAGATGATTCAAAGGAAACTTCCAACATGAAAGTTGTAGACCTCCATTAAATATACAAAATTTCTTTACACAACTCCTTCAAAAAGTTCCTGGATCTCAAGTTATAATTTTAAGAACACATTGTCATGAAACAAAACACTTAGTGAAATTTTACCCTAATTTGGTCAGGATTTTGACCCAACTTCATGGAACTTTTTCATATAGTTCCATGGGGAATTTTCAAAAGTGATTCAAATATGGATTGTAGAGCACATTGCAAGCTTTCCAAAATGTCCAAGAACTCCTTGAGATAATTCTTGAGTAGGGAGAATCGAAGAGATGAAGTTAGGGTTTTATCACTTGAATTACAAGTCATTTTGTAATAAACAAATTCAAAATTCAAACTTATGCTGCATAACCTCTACTTTGAAGGCCTCAAAATTGTTAGGCACTCAATAATTAATTGCTTGCACAGCTGTTAGAGGTCTCATTAAGCATTCAGTGCAAGACCATGCTTTATATCCATTTTGGGAAGAAAGTGCACATTGCCATTTTGATAAAGTGACTTTTTGTACAAAACTTGTTCTTGAGATTTGCAATTGCTTTCTTCTGATCATACAAGTCCCATAATTCAAGAGAAACTTGTTAGACACTTACAATCACTGGGCCCATGCTTGTACCTCCTCTTGAAACTTGTTTTCCACATTTTTTTGAAAATCAAGTAACCTAGCAATTAGCTTGTAACTTGTACTTCTGACTTTCAAAACCACTCAAACCCTTTTTCTTATACATACACAAACCATTTGCCACAAACCCCACGCATGCTTGAGCCCTGAAAACACCAAGAACACAGAATCACCAAAAACACTTCAAAACTTGTCATTTCTGAGTTTTGAAGCCAATCTCCAAATTTACTTGTGCGTTTCTTGGCCTTTTACTTTCAAAAGATTCTAAACAACATATACAAATAATCCTAACACCTGCAGCACCACTGTAACACCTCCATCATTATCCACCATTTTCAAAAATAGCACCTTGCACCTAGACTTCTCCAGAACTCCTCAGGCACTTTCAGCTCAAGCTAAGCACCCCATTAGCTTCATGGGAACTTGAGGAAGCTAATCCAATAATTGGAACTCACTGAAAGCTACTTTAACTCCAAACCTGACACCCTCTTGCAAGGTAAGTTTTCTAACTTTGGAACTTTTCATACATCCATCATTAATGGTTTATTTGTGAATGAAAAATGTAGATATCATTGCCCTAAAGCTAACCATGTCGATAGTTTTCATTAATTTTGTTTGAGCTTAGAGAATTTTAAGATTAAAGTTTCTATGATTTTTAGGGTTCAGATTAGGGCCATTAATATTCATGCTTATCTTTGATCTATAATTTTATTGCTTTGCATTTCGCAAATCGTGAGGAAATTTGCTACAAGTTTCCTGTTTACACTTTTCATTTTTATTGAGAATTAATCAAGATACAAAGGCTCTGGCTG